ACCTTTGTTGCTGTTTTCAATAAGGGAAACTATGCAGGAGTCTACCGGGTATAGTCCGTTTGAGCTGATCTTTGGGCACAATGTACGAGGTCCTCTTCGGGTGCTCAAAGAAGGATGGATGGGAGAAGACGTTAGCTCAACACTCTACAACCCATCTTCAAGGTTGCAGGTGGCACGTCAGTTAGTCAAGGCTAACTTAACTTAAAGGCAGCTCAAAACAAGATGAAACAGAGGTATGACAGAACTTCACAATTCTGCTCCTTCCATCCAGGAGACAAGGTGCTGGTACAGGAACCTATATCTGGCCACATCTTGAAAGCTAGATTTACGGGGCCTATGAAAATTGTAAGTAAATTATCTGATGTAAATTATGTGGTGTCTCCCCTTGATAAAACCTCAAAAACTAAAACTTACCATATTAATTAAATTAAAGATTTTTACACACCAGATAAAGTCCCAGTAATGACCTGTCCTCCTCAAGGACCCTATCCCTTTAATGGTGGGGCTATCTAAAATTCAAGTAACAAGTTTAACTGCACATCTGCAATCATACCCTGACATTTTTTCGGATGTGCCGAGAAAATGTACATTAGGTTATCATGACGTAGATGCGGGAAACTCTAAACCTATTAATTCTCCCACTACAGAGCTAATCCTGAAAAACAGAAGCTACTTCAGCAGGAGGTAGAATTTCTGTTAGAGCATGTGTTAGTGGAGGAGTCATCTAGTCCATGGACTTCACCGTGCATCCTTGTTAAAAAAGCTGATGGAGGTTTTCGTATGTCTACAGACTACCGTAAGGTGAAGGAGGTCACAATTACAGATGCTTACCCTCTTCCTCGTCTGGATGACCTACTCAACTTTGTGGGTAAGGCTACTTTTGTGTCCAAGTTAGATCTCCTTAAAGGTTACTATCAGGTACCTTTGAAGGATAAGGCGAAGGAAATCTCTGCCTTCGTAATTCCAGGTCATTATCAATATACAGTTACCCCCTTCAGAATGAAAAAATCTCCCTCTTCATTCCAGGAACTTATCCATCAGGCTATTAAAGGACTTGAGTGCACAGCAGCTTACCTAGATGACATAGTGGTGGTGTCTGATACTTGGGATCAACACCTGCTTAGGCTTAAGGCTCCCTTTGAGACCTTCCAGAGTTCCACTTAACTGTTAATTTATTTAAGTTTTCCTTTGGCCAGGCTACTGTTAATTTTCTGGGCCATGAAGTGGGTAGTGGAAAAGTTGCTCCTAAGTTTGCTAACGTTCTTGCCATTAAAAGTTATCCAGTTCCTCATGATAGGAAATCTCTTCAACGTTTCCTAGGCATGATAGGATTTTACAGAAGATTCTGCAAAAAACATTTCAGATATTCTAGCCCCTGTTACCTCTCGTACCAGTCACAAAGTTCCCTTTAACTGGACCCCAGAATGTCAAAATGCTTTTACGTAAGCAAAAATGTTACTGTGTACTGCACCCATTCTTTTGTTTCCAGATTTCTCCAAACCTTTCTCATTACAGGTTGATGCTTGTGAGTCTGGGGTTGGAACAGTTCTGTTGCAAAATGGGGACGAGGGGTTGCAGCCTGTGGCCTTCTCAGCGAAGTTCCAGCTGCACCAGAGGACCTACACAACAATTGGAAAAGAAGCCCTTTTGCTGGTGTAGAGTTGTGGCATAACCTAGAGTTGTTTTAGAGAGCTGTGGCATAATCTAGAGTTGGTGTAGAGAGCGGTGGCATAATCTAGACTTGGTGTAGAGAGAGGTGGCACAATCTAGAGTTGATGTAGAGAGCTGTACCATAATCTAGAAATGGTGTAGAGAGCTTTGGCATAATCTAGAGTTGATGTATAGAGCGGTGAAATAACCTAGAGATGGTGTAGAGAGTTGTGGCATAATCTAGAGTTGATGTAGAATATGGTGGCATAATCTAGAGTTGTGTAGAGAGCGGTGGCATAATCTAGAGTTGGTGTAGAGAGCGATGGAACAATCTAGAGTTGGTTAGAAGAGCTGTGGCATAATCTAGAGTTGGTGGAGAGAGCAATGGAATAACCTAGAGTTGGTGGAGAGAGCGGTGGAATAATCTAGAGTTGGTGTAGAGAGCGGTGGCATAATCTAGAGTTAGTGTAGAGAGCGATGGCATAATCTAGAGTTGGAGTAGAGAGCTGTGGCATAATCTAGAGTTCGTGGAGAGAGCTGTGGCATAATCTAAAGTTGGTGTAGAGAGTGGTGGCATAATCTAGAGTTGGTGTAGAGAGTGGTGGCATAATCTAGAGTTGATGTACAGAGCTGTGTCATCATCTAGAGTTGGTGTAGAGAGATGTGCCATAATCTAGAGTTGGTGTAGAGAGTGGTGGCATAATCTAGAGTTGGTGTAGAGAGCTGTGGCATAATCTAGAGTTGATGGAGAGAGCAATGGCATAATGTAGAGTTGGTGGAGAGAGCTGTGGCATAATCTAGAGTTGATGGAGAGAGCTACTGCATAACCTAGAGTTGGTGTAGAGAGACGTTGCATAATCTAGAGTTAGTGGAGAGAGCGGAGGCATAATCTAAAGTTTGTGTAGAGCACTGTGGCATAATCTAGATTTGGTGCACAAAGCGGTGGTATAATCTAGAGTTGGTGGAGAGAGCTGTGGCATAATCTAGAGCCAGTGTAGAGTGGAGTATCATAAACTAGAGTTGGTGTAGAGAGTGGTGAATTTTTTATGAGAGAGCCACAAAATTTGATTAACACAAGCCTATCCGATGTTATCCTGACGCCAAATGACTTCGAACAGGCGATAAATGACATGCCCATGCACTCTGCCCCAGGGCCAGACTCATGGAACTCCGTGTTCATCAAGAACTGCAAGAAGCCCCTATCACGAGCCTTTTCCATCCTATGGAAGGGGAGCATGGACACGGGGGTCGTCCCACAGTTACAAAAAAACAACAGACATAGCCCCACTCCAAAAAAGGAGGCAGTAAAGCAACAGCAAAGAACTACAGAGCGATAGCACTAACATCCCATATCATAAAAAATTTTTGAAAGGGTCCTAAGAAGCAAGATCACCACCCATCAAAGAAACCCATCAATTACACAACCCAGGCAACGTGGTTTAGAACAGGTCGCTCCTGTCTGTCTCAACTATTGGATCACTACGACAAGGTCCTAATGCACAGAAGACAAAAAGAAAGCAGATGTAATATATACCGACTTTGCAAAAGCCTTCGACAAGTGTGACCATGGCGTAAATAGCGCACAAAATGCGTGCTAAAGGAATAACAGGAAAAGTCAGTCGATGGATCATAATTTCCTCACTAAAAGAACACAGAGAGTAGTCGTCAACAGAGAAAGTCCGAGGCAGATACGGTGAAAAGCTCTGTTGAACAAGGCCCAGTACTCGCTCCCATCTTGTTCCTCATCCTCATATCCGACATAGACAAGGATGTCAGCCACAGCACCGTGTCTTCCTTTGCAGATGACACCCGAATCTGCATGACCAGTGTCCCTTTCCCTTGCAGACACTGCAAGGGTCCAGGCAGACATCAACCAAATCTTTCATGGGCTGCAGAAAACAATATGAAAGTTCAACGATGAGAAATTTCAATTACTCAGATATGGTAAACACGAGGAAATTAAATCTTCATCAGATAAAAAACAAATTCTGGCCACAAAATAGAGCGAAAAACCAACGCAAAGACCGGGGTGATCATGTCGGGGATCTCACCTTCAATGACCCTAACATTTTATCAATCGCATCGCAGAAAAAAGACAGGATGGGTAAAGAGAACCTTCAAAACTAGGGGGGACCAAGCCCCATGATGATACTCTTTAGGGCACTTTTTACTGGGGAAAATTTTCCACCAACACACCTTTCAAGGGATAAATTGCTGACCTAGAAAATTACAGAGAACCTTCACGGCGCGCATAACTAGATAAAACCCCTCAATTACTGGGAGCGCTTGAGGTTCCTGATCCTGTATTCCCTGGAACGCAGTCGGGAGAGATACATGATTATATACACCTGGAAAATCCTAGAAGGACTAGTACCGAACTTGCACAAGAAAATCACTCACTACGAAAGCAAAAGACTTGGCAGACGATGCAACATCCCCCCAATGAAAAGCAGGGGAGTCACTAGCACGTTAAGAGACCATACAATAAGTGTCAGGGGCCCGAGACTGTTCAACTGCCTCCCAGCATACATAAGGGGAATTACCAACAGACCCCTGGCAGTCTTCAAGCTGGCACTGGACAAGCACCTAACCTCGGTTCCTGACCAACCGGGCTGTGGCTCGAACGTTGGTTTGCGTACAGCCAGCAGCAACAGCCTGATTGATCAGGCTCTGATCTACCAGGAGGCCTGGTCACAGACCGGGCCGCGGGGGCGTTGACCCCCGGAACTCTCTCCAGGTAAACTCCAGGTAATAACCTAGAGTGGAGTATCATAATCTTGAGTTGGTGTAGAGAGCGGTGGCATAAACTAGAATTAGTGAAGAGAGCTGTGGCATAATCTAGAGTTGGTGCAGAGAACGGTGGCATAATCTAGAGTTGGTGTAGAGAGCTCTGGCATAATCGTTAATTGGTATATAGAGCGGTGGCGTAATCTAGAGTTAGTATAGAGAGCGGAGGCATAATCTAGAGTTGGTGTAGAGATCTGTAGCATAATCTAGAGTTGGTGTAGAGAGCGGTGGCGTAATACAGTGTTTGTGCAGAGAGCGGTAGCATATTGTAGAGTTGGTATACAGAGAGGTGGCATAAACTAGAGTTGGTGTAGAGAGCGGTGGCATAAACTAGAGTAGGTGTAGAGAGCTGTCGCATAATCTAGAGTTAGTGTAGAGAACGGTGGCATAATCTAGAGTTGGTGCAGAGAGCGGTGGCACAATGTAGAGTTGGTGTATAGAGCGGTGGCATAATCTAGAGTTGGAGTAGAGAGCTGTGGCATAATCTAGAGTTGGTGTAGAGATCGGTTTTCATAATCTAGAGTTGGTGTAGAGATCGGTGGCACAATCTAGAGTTGGTTTACAGAGCGGTGGCGTAATCTAGAGTTGGCGTAGAGAGTGGTGGCATAATCTAGAGTTGGTGTAGAGAGTGGTGGCATAATCTAGAGTTGGTGCAGAGAGCAGTGGCATAATCTAGAGCTGGTTAGAAGAGCTTTGGCATAATCTAGAGTTGATGTAGAGAGCGGTGGCATAATCTAGAGTTTCTGGAAAGAGCTGTGGCATAATCTAGATTTAGATTTTGCCACCGAAGTGGCTAGTTTATTGTGCACCCCATATCCATCCTGTGGACGGTAGCGCGAGAGCATGTGGATACACAAAAGGCCTAGGAACTAGGCCCCAAAAATGACCATATGCCTGATCACATAATTTACATTTAGTTTGATCATCATCTGTGTGTCTCCCAAACTGCCAGAAGTACTTGTAACCAAGCCTAAGCCTGGCCACTACAACATCAGTCAGTCTGTTCACATTGCAAGTTGCTCCATAAACATACTTATCTACGTTCATTTATCATAATGGGTTATAGATCTATTCAGGCTTCTAACTGCATTCCTAAACAATCTCTTCATTATTTACTTCTCTCCTAATTTTATTCCTAATGCTAGACACAGTTATACCAAAGTTATATTCTACGTTCTCCTTCTGGATACCTTTTTCTTGGGTAACATATCAACTTTATCATGAAGGAGTAATCCAATGTGGATGGGAAACCATAGCAATTGTACATTAATTCCTTTGTCCCTATTTTTGAGTATCTATACCTGGCTTCCCCAATGAGCATGTTTTTTTGGAGTCCCTTTTAAAGAGCCAAGAGCCTTCAATGATGACCCTAGAATCAGTAAATGATGATAGAGTCAAGCTCAGTGTCATAGGGTTAGCTTTAGCGCCATTAGGATTGCAAACAATTCAGTTTGCAGTGTAGACGCCCAGTTGTTAATTCTTATCCTAACCAACAAATTTATTATCGTTCTTAACTAGGGAGGTGGCAACAAGAGCAGATGCAGCCCTGCCAAAGACTCCTTGTTTAGATCCATCAGTGTATATAACTTGTGATAACTTATTACTACCAGCTGGGCGAAAAATTTCTTCTTGAGCAGTTGCTCAACAAGAGTATTTAAGGAAGGGATTACTAGCAATGAGCTTCTTGGGAGGGACTTGTAGGTATGTGATATTAAATGAACACACTTCCATGGGGGGGTGAAATTGCTCTTGTTCCTACATGATACAGTTCATGCAGGTTATAAAACTTAATGCAATTGCACGTTTTCACAATCCATTTAGATCTGTGTGTATTCCCTCTAGACTTTTTGGGTAAGATTAAACTGTGACAGTGTCTGGTTCGTTTCTCAACATTCTAATACCGAGTACAGTGTTAATTTCAACAATCCTATCACTGATACTAGAAATACCAAGCCCCTTTCCTCATGTTAAGAACTTTTGTAGATCTGGGACAGCCAAGAATAGTCCTGAGAGCTTCATTTTGCATTAACTCCAAGGGTGGAGGGAACTAATATCAACATGGGAGCAGCAAATCAATTAAGACCTAACATAGGCTAGTACATCATTCTCACGATTCTCACATTAGCACCAAATAGTTGGGATTGTAGCCAGCAACAGCTTTGAGAGCATTTAGCCTAGCTTTGCATTTCTTGTTTAGTTGGGGTATAGTGGATTTGTTAAAGGGTACATCTACCCCAAAGATATCGTAAGTTTTTAACGTACTAATGATTTCACCCTGCAAATAGATGGGTGGGGGATGTCGTTTGCTTGTTAATATCTTTGTTTTAGAGGAAGATATTATAGGCCTAGTCGATTAAAAATTGCTTGAACTTCATTAAGAATGGTATTCACCCTTCTTATGCCCTGTTGTATGGATCATGATATCATCAGCATAGCTTATAGCTATATGTTTAGGTGAGGCCCGGTAGAGCATTTAGGAAGCATTAATCAGAATATTAAATAGCATGGGACTAAGAACTCCTCCCTGCGGTGTACCTAAAGACATTTCTTTAGAACCACTTCTGAAGCCTTGGTAAAGGACAGAGGATACTCTATTTGACAGGTATCCTATTATCCAGCAGAGTAAGCTACCACCAATATTCATTTTGGCTAGTTCATGTAGTATAACTGTTCTGTTTGCAATATCAAATGCAGATTTTAGATCAAGAAAAGTGGTAAAACTAGTAGAGGTGTGTGCAGTGAGAAAGGTGGAAATACAGTTCTGCACACTTTTACCTTTCATGAATTGGTGTAGACAGCTCTGACATATTCTAGAATTGGTTTAGAGAGCGGTATCATAAACTAGAGTTGGTGTAGAAGTTGTGGCATAATCTAGAATTGGTGTAGAGAGAGGTGGCATAACCTAGAGATGGTGTAGAGATCGGTGGCATAATCTAGAGTTGGTGTAGAGAGCTGTTGCATAATACAGAGTATGTGTAGAGACCGGTGGCATAATCTAGAGTTGGTTTACAGAGTGGTGGCGTAACCTAGAGTTGGTGTAGAGAGTGGTGGCATAATCTAGAGCTGGTGTAGAGAGCTGTTGCATAACGTAGAGTCGATGTAGAGACCGGTGACATAATCTAGAGTTGGTTGAGGGAGCTGTGGCATAATCTAGAGTTGGTGCAGAGAGAGGTATCATAAACTAGAGTTGGTGTAGAAGCTGTGGCATAATCTAGAATTGGTGTGGAGAGTGGGGGCATAATCTAGATTGGAGAAAGGGAGACTGGGGCCCAAAAATCTAGAGTTGGTGTAGAGAATGTTGGCATAATCTAGAGTTGGTGTAGAGAGCTGTGGCATAATCTAGAGTTGGTGTAGAAAGCGGTGGCATAATCTAGATTTGGTGTAGGGAGCGGTGGCATAATCAGAGTTGTTTGTAGAAAATTTGTGGTATAATCTAGATTAAAGTAGAGAGCTGTGGCGTAATCTAGAGGTTGTTGTAGAGAATTGTGGTATAATCTAGAGTTGGAGTAGAGAGCTGTGGCGTAATCTAAAGGTTGTTTAGAGAATTGGTATATCTAAGTTGGATTAGAGAGCTGTGCGTAATCTAATTTAGTTAGAGAGTTGTGGCATAATCTAGAGTTGAAGTAGAGAGCTGTGGCATAATCTAGAGTTGGTGTAGAGAGCTGTTGCATTATCTGTAGTTGGTGTAGATAGCCCTAGCATAGTCTAGAGTTGGTGTAGAGAGGGGTGGCATAATCTAGAGTTGGTGTAGAGAGCTGTGGCATAATCTAGAGTTGGTGTAGAGAGCTGTGGCATAATCTAGAGTTGGTGTAGAGAACTGTGGCATAATCTAGAGTTGGTGTAGAGAGTGGTGGCATAATCTAGAGTTGGTGCAGAGAGCAGTGGCGTAATCTAGAGCTGGTTAGAATATCATGTGGGAGTTCGATACGTGGATTAGGGTAGAAATACTCACGTAGGCTGTTATACGTATAATCACTGTTATGTGGACAGAGCCCGCAGCCGTACCTATCTCCTTGGCTACACTCGTAAAACTGACTAGCCGGCTGGCCAGTACCCCGTAGTGGGTGTTTTGAAATAGTGTCAGCTCAGCACAATATGAACGACCGTGACTCAAGACGGTTGGTCGTTGAGTCAACGGACAGGTTACGGAACTGGTTACTGGTAACTGGTTACTACTACTGAGAGCTCGGCGACGCTAACGTATGTCGTCCCGACATACAACAAAATACAAACTAGAGATGGCAGGTATACGGCTTGGGCTGTTTCTATACAATGTCAAAGTACACAACATAAAAACATTATAGATACATAAGTAAACATTGGAATGAAAGCTTACGTAACTGAAACTGTAATAAATACAAGGTATAACAAATAGTACAACTAAAACTCAACAAATGAACAACGAACTCACATTGAGATTACAAGTATAAAAACAAAAATTTTGATCGATCGATCTGTATTCGGTGATCTACGGATTCTGAGGAAGGAATATATACAAAGAAAGAGTGTTTAACAGAAAGCAGATTCGGTGCACGCAAATCTAGACTGTTAACTCTCAGAATGCGGAAAAGAACAGAACACAAAAAAAAAAAAAATTCTTGAATACTAATAAGTTGATACTGTAATTATTCATCTATACAGGTTATTTACATTTAACCCCAACTCTGCTAGGGAAAGATTGGCAAAATGCAGAATGGTGTCATCTCTGGGAGGAATCAAACTCTGTAGCATTGGCTAACTCATGCTGCATTTGAGGCAAATCTGAATTGGAAGTTACAAATGATACTTGAGGATTTCTCAATACCTGTCGTGTACGTAGGGAATAACGACATTCAGGTTGATCATCTACTGAGTATCAAGGTAGAGAGTACAGGATCAGGAGATTGTCAGAGTCTGTCACATTAGTCTGGGTTGGAACATCATTATCATCACATACTAACTTCATATGACCCCAAATGCGATTCTTTATACTGACCAGTACTAATCTCTCTAACCTTATACTTTTTACCAGTGATATGTTCAACTACTCTATAAGGACCAACAAACCTTTGATAAAGTTTTGGGGCTAGCAGACGTTTTGTTAAAATTAGTCAGCATAACTCTCGAACCTACTTTGTTTTTGGATGGTTTTGATCGAGTGTTTGCGACTCTTGTAAATTTCCCAGCTGTTGAATTTAGAAGTGTTTCACGGATTCTTCTAAAAACACTTTGACTAAGCTTTTACGAGTTGCTACGAAATCTTCAGGGTTGTAATTTGGTTTCGGATTAGAATATAACAACTCATAAGGCAAACGTTTATCTACACCATACAATGCATAATGTGGAGTGTCCCCTATAGAAACATTGTAAGCAGAATTTATAGCACACTGCACATCAATATAACTTCATCCCAAGTTTCACTGTTGGGATTGATAGTGGCTCTCAAAACATCAAGTACTTTCTTATTGGTTCTTTCCGCTAACCCCAATGCTGGCAGATAAATGAGGAACAATGGTGGATTTAGTGATCTTGTAAAAGGGACACAAATTTTCAAGAATTTCATTACAGAATTCACCTCCATTATCTGTTCCTGGGGACTTAGGGGTGGTATGCCTGCAGATAATGCGTTCTTTAAACGCTTTAGCTACTGTCTCGGCAT